TGCCCCGGAAATCACCGTGGCCGCACGCAGGGCCCCCGCGCCTGGCGCTGGCAACACCAAACGCACCGCGCCGTCCGGTCCTTGCGAGAGCGGCTGCGGTTGATGGATGCCTCCTCCTTGCTGCTGTTGATGGCTGCGGGGGCTGCCGCCTCCTCCGCCGCCTCGCGTCGCGCCCGCTTCAGGCGTAGGTGGTGCCTTCGCGCGGCGTGCTACGCGTGGCGCGCCGCCGCCGGCGGCGGGGGCGGTGTGACGGCTGCCAGTGTCTCCGCTATAGCCCAGGCGATGCTCGAGCTCCCCGAGCGAGGCACGCAGGCTGTCCACGAGGCTAAAGAGCGAGGCGGGGTCGACACCGGCCACCACCGGTGCCACCAACGCCGGAGGCGGGCGCTCCTGCAACTGTTGCTGCAGCCCCTCGCAGAGCCTCTGCTGCTCCTCAACCTCCTCGTAGACCCTGGCGAAGACGTGCCTGCACGCCTCCTCCCGCTCACACGCCTCCACCACGAAGGCCTCGAAGAGGGACTTTATCCGCTTATACTCCTCCCGCGCCGCTGCCTGCTCGCGCCTGGCCTCCTCCAACGCCTCTTTCGAGTGTCGCAGCTCGTCCTTCAGCCGTCGCACGCTCACCGCGGTGGAAGGGATGTTACCTCCCACCGACTCGCCCGATGGGCCGGCGCTGTCGCGCCCTTTTTCGGCCGCCGCAGCGTCTTTCACACCGCCAGAACCGCCGTTGCCTCTACTAGTTTTCGTCTCCACAGAAACACGCAGCTGGGCGTTAGCCTGCCTTAGCTCCCTGTTTTCCTTGAGCAGGCGCTGCAGCTCGCGCTGGTCGTCGCTGACCAGGGCGAGTGGGTCAACGCTCATGGCGGTGTGAAGAAGGGAGGCGCGCACCTGTTCGCGAGCCCCCAGAGACACCTAACGACCCCCCCCCCTCACCTCAAAAAAAAAAAAGACAACGGCGGCCCGTCACTCAACTTTCCGCTTCTAACCTGCACGCCAACACAAAGAGAAAGAGAAAGAAAGATAGAGAAGGTGTGTGTAGGTGGCGGTACAGGGATGTGGTTGCTGCCCCACACGCAAAATGCAAAAAAGAAAAATCAGAAGCAGACACAAACATGCGCACAAGACCGCGCTAGGCACGAAACCCAAACAAGGTGGTGAAAACGACCAGAAACAACAAAGGGGGCGAAAAGAACAGGCACACCCTCTTTTGTCGATTGCGCAGCATGTGGCGGCAAGGGGGAGAGGGCGGGGGACACGGCATAACACGACGGCAAAGCCCAACAACAGGCCCTGCAGCTGACGGTGCAGAGAGGCGCCTGGAGGTAACGGAGTGTGCGGTGGACGCGCGGCAAAGATGTGCTTCCGCGCTTAACGCCATCAGTGGATCGGTGATGCCGCCGCCGCCTTCGGCTCCTCCAACAACTCCAGCCACAGTCGCTTGTAACGCGCCAAGTGCCGCTCGTACTGCTGCGTGAAGGAGCCTCCATGCTCCTGCCACAGCGCGCTGAGCCCCCGATCCTTGCCGCCCGCCGCGTGCGGCGGTGGACGTCGCCGCTGCTGTGCGTAACTGGCGTTCGTGGGGTCTGGAATAAGGGCACAGCGGCGGCGCTGGAAAGTAAAGGCCTGTTCTGCCTTCTCAAGCTCCCGCTCGGCGTCGCCCACCACCCCCTCGAGCTCCTGCAGGATCGCCTCCTCCTCTGCCCATAAGGAAGCTCCAGGCGACGAGCTCGTCCACGGCACGCGCCAGCTTGTGAATACGCGTGCACTCCTGCAGCGTTTCTTCGTTCGTGTTTTCCACGGCCCTGCCGCCGCCACTTTGCACAACCGCCCATGAAATCATTCTGCACCTACTTATTGCGTGAGTGTGTGCGTACCTGGAAGAAAGGAGAGGAGAGAGAGGTTGGCAGTGCAAATAAATAAATGGCAGGAGACGGTGCATCAACGCCTGGTGCGTATGACAATGCGAAGCGAATGGGCGGCCCCACGCACGCACACATGAATAAAGAAAGAGTAGGATACTCCACGTCAATCTCCTACAGTTTTTGCTTCTTTTGTTTCCACCACTACTACCACTTCATACCGTCTGCCTCACTTTTACTACCACCCACCACCCGCTCGAGAGGAGCGCAGCCACTGTTGTCAACCCCAGCACCGAGCGCTGAACGAAGGGACGCACGCCAGGAAGAAGAGGCACGTCGCGCCCACAATTTTCGCGCGACTCCTCCCTCCCCCCCACACACACAAAAAAAAAAAAAAAACAATAACCCTGCGCCTCTCTCTCTGTCCCTCCCTCACGCACACGCATACGCCTAGAGACCCAACCCCCTGCGCTATTTGCCCATCCCCAATCTAGGCGCACGAAGACTAGGCCACGTCGCCCGGCTTCCGCATGCTTGTACGAAACAGCCAATCGTCGTAAATCTTTCGCTTCTCCTCGACAAAGTTCTCAGGGTAGAACGTCTCCCGAATCGCCGCATTCTCTGTTAGTGCCATGTACAGGAGAGCCTGATTGAGCTCTTCCATGCGAGACATGGCAAACCCCTTGTTGTACAGGTGGCGGCAGTTCTTGGCGACGTTGTACTGCCCCTCCTTCACCAGGCAAAGCATGACCATCTCATTGGCAAGGTTGGCGTGCACCACGTACACCTCACGCTCACGCTCCAACCAGTTCTTGTATGCTAGGTAGTGGTAGTAGTCGTTCTACTTACCATCCACCGGGGACGGCACTTTGGCGTTCACGTATTTTGTCCGCGGCCAGCGCCAGGAGGCCCACCAGCACTTCTCTGGGCAGGGGTTTGGCGGGATGTAGGCGTCCACGTAGTTGCGCGGGCGCGGCGGGGAGAGGGGGCTCGTGATGTAGTCGAGCCAGCCGTCGTACTTACGTTCCAGCGCAGCGCCGAGGAAAGGAATATCAGTGTCCTGCACGAACTGCAGCTGCAGCAGCCGCGCGAAGCACTCAAAAACGCTGCGCGGCAGCATCACCTTATCGCCGTCAAACGGGGGAACGTTCGCCCTAAACTCCTCCGACGCCGTTGATGACATTGGAATCCGCGCGAACGGTGAGGGCATAAACCGCCGCAGCGGCCACCTCCGCCGCCATTATCGTCTCCCCACTCCACACTCCTAATCCACTTCACTCTTTCTCTCTTCATATGTGTATAACCGGCCGCAGTGATGAGACGCGTAAATTTGTGCAGCGGCCAAAGTTCCAAAGCCGCAGATCACCACTAGCACCTTCTTCGCCAAGCATCGCACACACGCAGCGAAGAAAACAACTGCTCAACGAACACAGAAAAAAGAAAGCAAACAAAAAAAAACACACTTCAACGCAGGCCGCAGACGCAACCGATGCACAGCGAGAAACAGCAGCCCCACACCTCCCCGTACGCAAGCACAAGAAGAAGGCTGCAACGAAAAAAAAAAACTCGGAAACACCACATACACCCAAATAAACAAATAAATAAAAATTTTCCACAACACAACAAAAGACATGCCATCTATCTCCTTAGCACCCACTAGCAGCAAACACGAAGAAGGACCATAAAAACACACACGCAATACTCACAAAACGCCTACAAACACGAACAAAAAATCCATACAATAGTCAACTCAGACTCACACCCACACCCAGACACCTATAAAGACAATCTGCACGGAATCCGAGTACTCGAAAAAGCCACTAACAACCGCCGCGCAGGCGCAGCACCAGGTGGAGCGTCGACTCCTTCTGGATGTTGTAGTCCGCGAGCGTGCGGCCCTCCTCCAGCTGCTTCCCGGCAAAGATCAGACGCTGCTGGTCCGGTGGAATGCCCTCCTTGTCCTGGATCTTCGCCTTCACGTTTTCGATGGTGTCGCTTGCCTCCACCTCGAGGGCAATCGTCTTGCCGGTTAGCGTCTTCACAAAGATCTGCATGCCTCCGCGCAGGCGCAGCACCAGGTGGAGCGTCGACTCCTTCTGG